AATAAACCTGCGCCACATGCAGCCTTGATCCTCGTTGCACGCGAGGCCGGCGCATAATGTTGCAGGACGATTTACGGGTCCGGGAAAAGTCCGCGATTTACGACCGAGATTGCGCATTCCATCGGAATACGCGCGAGCTGATGGTACGCACCCCCTTAAAATTAACACACTCCCCCTCCCCTCCGGCCTTAAAGTCACCGAGCGCAGCCTCCCCTTCATCAGTGGATACTCGCTTCGAAATCTTTTTTTTTCCTCAACGTAAAAATGATAACGAAACGAGAATAAAAAGTTCCTCGTGAAATATGCGAGGGAAAAAACGGATGATGAGATAACGTACGTCATGAAGCGGGGTGTACGTTCCAGTTTTATGATGAAACAACTCGAAAATAGAAGAAAGGACTGTTACCTCACTTACTCCGTAAGCGGGAATTATCGTACTCGGAGTCACGTTTATTACTAAATACGTAACGTCGAATAAAATATCAAAATATAATCTGCGCATTTAACCGGTGATTTGACTGCGCATTTAACTGCGACTCGTGATGCTGGGTATTTTCCATGCAAATCCCTCTCTCTTTCTCTTTCTCTCCCCTTTTCCCTCTCCCTTTTTCTATTTCTCTCAATGTTTCTCTTTTTCCTCGCTGGCACGACGAGAGTATCAAACAGCTGAATTTGGTGTTAAAGGCATGTCGGCAATACGTAACTTCGTTCCCGAGGGACCGCACCCCCGAGATTCGGGTAACTCTCGCTCCCTCTCCCCTGCTCTTCCGGAAGCCTGGCAACGGTGCGCCTCCTGCACCTCCTGCGCACCTGCAAAAGCGACCCTTTCTCCATAAAGGAAAACCGCGTCCCGCACCCCCGCACGTTCTACGACCGTGATATGTGACGTCGGAGAGAGGATGGTGGCCGGAGGGGGAGGCGGGCGAACCAAACGGACGGTAGTGGGGTAAAACCATAAAAGTAGGGCAGTAGTGCGGTAGAGCAATCAATAGAGGTTGGATCATGGTAGGGTAGATGGAGAATGGTAGAGGGGAGGAGGAGTGTAAAACCGGAGTGCAAATTTGGTGACGGTGAGAGAAGATGGGAGGGAGGGAAGGCAACGGAGAACGGAGGGGTCGAAACGGAGACATCCCCTTCCCTCTGCCGACAAATTCATTAATATGAACCGCCATGAACGAGCAGCTTTGTTTCGCAAAAGACTCGCTGTTATCAATAACACGAATAACGTGATCTTTTCTCGTTACGATGTCGCGATCGTCGACGACGACAGATTTTTGCATCCGCATAGTGGCAGTAACGTACCGTTTGATAGGGGATGTTTATCAATTAAAATTCGGCTCATCCAAAGCGGATATTACGAAATAATAATAACGCGCAGAATTGCATATCATAATTGCAGGTTGATATTTCATATCGTACGACAAAAGCATAGATTGGTTATAGGATAGTGAAGATTTTAAATCTCCAGAAATTCTCTATTGTATATTCAATCAAGGCTTTGAAAAAATTTGAAATATAAATGAAATATTAATATATATCTTAGAATCCTATAAAGAATGAATATTTAAAAAAAAAAATCTCGCGAGATAACAGATATACGAAATAATTGTTTTAACTGAAGATTTCTTCAAGAATGGAAAACTTGTGCCGATCGCACAGTGAATGTGATGTAGTTTTCGCGGATTTAACAATCACAAATTAATATAAATTTATATCTCGCAATCCGTATAATAATCTCATAATAATCTTCTCCAAACGCGATACGTTCTTCATCCTCGATTCTCTTTTAATCTTGAGATTTGGATTGCAATCGCGAGAAATCTCCCATTTTCTATTATTTATCAAAGTACTCGTTTTTACATTCACATTTCTCATTTCCCTCCTTTTCTCGGTTTTCGAAAGTGACGTTACCTTGAATGCTCACGCAAATTAGATTTATCCTTTTTATGCCCATTTTTATCAAGGTAGATTAACTTCAATCTTGGTTTAACTCTCTTTTAATTCCAATAATTAAAGACAAAAGATAAAGAGTAGAGTCAAATCGAGATTAAAATTAATTCACATTAGTAGAGATGGATATTAGCTGAACTTTCCGCACGGTTTATCTTTCTTTTTTTTTTTTGAGTGTTGGAGAAAAGAAAAAGAGAGAAAAGATGAACCGTGCAAAAAATCCAGCTGAGAACAGGACCATTGTGAGATGAAAAGAATGACAGCGAACGGATTATCCGGAGCCAAAAATCGCTCGAAATATATATATATATATATATATATAAAAAATTCATTCCACTTCATTACACACCTGTCGGGTGCACGATGCCGATAAATCGAGACGTTGCGTGCGTGCGTGCATGCTGCGTGCGTGCGTGCATTCCGTTCGCTCGCGCGCGTTCGCGGGTGTGCGTCGCGAAACGATTCGAAGGAATCATGCACGTCTCGCGTGCGGAGAGAGGTTATGATGCACCTGCCGATAATCGCGACCCAATCGGGACGGGAGGCCGAGATGCGTCGATCGTCGGGACGGACGATCGTCCCCCAGGCCTCGCGATCATCAAAGCCGCGCGAGATCGCCGTGCGACGATCGCCAGAGAGAGAGTGGCACCTGACGATACCCGCGAAATCATCTCCCAGCATCAGCAAAGTGTTTCCTCAGGAGAGGGGAAGATTCGCGGAAAAGGTATTACGAGCGAGACGCCACGCGCACGACACCGTCCCGCGGCTCGTCCGTCCGCGATAAACGTTATCACGAGTTAGGGCAGGCACGATAAACGCTACTCACCTAACTCCGCGTACACCCACGCCGCAACTTCACCATTTCCACAATTTTCATCGCGCACGGCCGCGCGTATTGTTGTCCTGTGCTTTTTTTGAAACCGCTAAGCTGATCACTAATGCTATCTGTCGACGGCCGAGCGAAGAGCGAGAACTTTCGGGAAAGCCGTTCGGGGCTCGCCGGACACGCCGAAATGTCCCTAGGCCAGAAAGCGGCGCTATCCCATTTTGGCGCCAAATATCGCAAATTCAAAACACGAACTTACACGTTCTCAGAAAGGATCGCTTCATCTCTCATCGCGGAATCTAGAAATTAAAAACATTAGAATGAAACAATTGTTTTGGGAAGAAATGTAAAATAAAAAATTCGACTTTAATATTAATCGATTTTGGGATACAACGTACTAATATTTAATATATTTAATAATATATTGATCGATCTTGAGATACCACGTACTTGCGACGAGAATTTTGTAAAGAACATAAAATTGTTTATTGAATATCAAGTTTTACAAATATTATCACACACTTGTTATGAATGTTTCGTCTTA